GACATGCCGTGAAGCGTCAAACTTGTTCTTGTGATGCATGGAAATTACTCTGCATTGAGAGAGAGAGAGAGAGAGAGAGAGAGAGAGAGAGAGAGAGAGAGAGAGAGAGAGAGAGAGAGTAGTAGTAGTAGGAGTAGGGGAGGAGTTGTACAATCTTGCTGAAGTGTGAAGTTTCTGATTTTGTATCTTTCTGTGACAGTGGCCGTGGAAGTTTCGAGTTGCCGTCTCCAAGATTAGAACCTCTTCTTGATACATGTGGAACATCTCCAGAGGATGAAGTTCCCCTTCCACTTCTGGGAGTCGTAAGTGCTCTTTTCCTGAGATCCTTCCAACTGAGCTGATGCATCGCCACCATCTCTCTCTCTCTCTCTCTCTCTCTCTCTCTCTCTCTGAGACTTGGTGCCTGGTCCACCCACCCACCATCAAATGATTAGGCAGAGTTATGGGACGGGTTGGTTGAAAGTATCAGGAGAAGCAAATGGGTTAACCAACAAGCTCATCCGAAGCTAAATGGACGAACCAAAAAAACGCATTTTGCCCCAGCCTAAGAGTGGCTCCTCCTGGCTGTTAGAAAATCAACATGGTACAGGTACCGGCCTCTGTAGTATTGAAAAGTCTGGGCTCCCACATACACTTTGGGGCCCCAAGTTCCTGTTCATCCATTGCACTACCAGCCCTGGACGAAGACGCTAACTTCAGATGGACTAGTGGCTTAAGGAAATGACAACGTGGCAACAGGACAGGGCCACCAACAGGCACCAACCCAGCAAAAGTCATCCATCCTCGACGTGATGAGAAGCGTGGAGCAAACACAAGGGAGGATTGAGGGTGATATAGACAGCAGTAATACAGATTGGGCAAAGGAAGAAACACACTGAGGAGCATCAACAGACACCAAGCCAGCAAAAGCCATCTCTCCTCTTATGTAATGACAAGTGTAGTTACAAGCATAATGACAAGGGAAGGGAAAGTCGGGGAAAAATAATCAGCCACAGCAGCGGCAGCATAGAGTATTTGAACACGCTAAACGGCAGCAAGAGACATCAAGAGAGCAGAAGCCATCTTATTCTCTATGTTGTGATGAGAAGTGTGAGTAAGAGACAAGCTGAGGTGGTGGGCCAATAGACAGCATCAGCATACAATGGCGACCAAGAGAACGAGCTAATGGGACAGGAAGAGAGGCACCACGACATGGCGGACAATGAAAACAGCATGTCCACTGCCCATGTCAGTTGACCTGGAGCGCAATACTTCACTTTCCCTTCCTTAAACTACTGCTGCGAAGATTGGTCAATAGCCTCAATACAGTTAGGTCCAGTCCACTTTTTCTGTTTCTTAAACCACCACTGCTCCGAACGTTCCTCCGAACGTTCCATCCTTACACCAGGAGGCTGCAATCTTGGTGTCCTGTCCACCTTGCGCCCGGTCCAATATGTAATGGATGGGAAAATTCTCTTCAGGAGAAAACTAACTGCGCAGCTCGGGTGGTTTCTCTCTCTCTCTCTCTCTCTCTCTCTCTCTCTCTCTCTCTCTCTCTCTCTCTCTCTCTCTCTCTCTCTCTCTCTCTCTCTCTGTGTGTCTCGCCCCTTTGCTCTCGTCTCGTACATACTACCAATCTCTGGTGCCATAGAGCAATGACTGCGACTTTCCCATGTCTCAAGCAGGCGGCGGGCGTATATGAAGCGGACAGTTTTTCCCGATAAGTTAGGCTGGATGAAGAAGCTGATAGTTTTCGGGAGAAGTTAGGCTGGATGAAGAAGCGGCAGTGAAAATGTGGTTGTGATCTGCAATATGCAATAATCAGTTTCGCACAACCCACCGGTGAAGTCCAAAGCAGTTTTCAGTAGACTGTTCGCCCTCCTGCCTACGGCGACCACTCCCTCATCAAGCAGTAATACTGTAATAGGCATTAGGGATGTTCTTACCTCATCAGCTCCTTGCGTTAGCTGCTTTGATTCTCTCGTTGCACTTAGGTCTGGCAGCTTCCTGTCCCTGTGTTAGCTCTCCTTGCACTTAGGTCTGCCAGCTCCTTGTGTTAGCTGCTTTGATTCTCTCCTTGCGTAGGACCGTTAGTTTGTGGGCCATGTTTGCTGGGCACTACTCTTCCCTGCACGTGTCTTACCACCAACTTTCGGTCCTACCCCCTGGCCGCAGCTCTATTACTACCCTGTCCCTGTCCGAGGTACAGCCATACAACATGGCCTACAGAGTCAGCACACAGACTCAGACTTGGATCAGGCAAGTGCACGACACATACACGTCTGTGTTAGATCATATACGTACTACACACCTGTCACACCAGAAGTCGTGGGCTCAAATCCCGTAGAGAGCTCAGCGAATAACAGCAGGACAAACTCAGACTGGAATTGTCGGAGAAGTTGAGAAATACTTTTTTTTTTTAAAGGACAGCTTTCTCTCAGACAGCGATTTGTGGAAGTCTGAAACAGCGATTTGTGCCAGTCATTGCATGCCAAGAGGTTTCTTCTCTATATCGTTCCAATTTAAGTGGATGGCTTGAAGAAGTTGAAGGACATTGCATGCAAAGAAAGTTTCTTTTGCTGGTTCTTGTTTTTTTTTTGTTTTTTTTTTGGGGGGGGGGTGTTATATATAATTATATTGGGACTATTCTTAATCTTCGTTGTTTGACTCCCATTTGTTGTCGATTTTTTATATATATATATTTTTTCTCATGGGGCTATTTTGGTTAGGTTTCACTGGCAGATGCACTCGGTGAGTCGTGGTTGGTAGCAGTGACGGCAGCAGGAGAGGCGGCGGTGATGCGAATGAAGCCTCATGGGCTTGCTATGTCCACAGGGGGGCCGCCAACAGCACTGCACTTTGCTGGCGAGACAAGTAGCCGAGCGTCATCCCCTCCTTCCTCGGATGCTGGCTTGATTCAGACCACCAGTCGAGATATCATTCTTGGACCCAAGAATATCCCAATACCAAAGGTTTGTGACTCTGTTCTCTGCCTTCTGTTTTTCCTTTGTTTTCGTTTGGTAATTATCTTTTCGCTTTCTTTATGCCATTTAGAAAAGAAGGGTCACGGGAAGGTAGAAGAAGAATGAAGACGAATAGAGAAGAAGAATGACGACGACGACGACGACGACGACGATGACGATGACGAAGAAGAAGAAGAAGAAGAAGAAGAAGAAGAAGAAGAAGAAAAAGAAGACGATGACGAAGAAGAAGAAGAAGAAGAAGAAGAAGAAGAAGAAGAAGAAGAAGAAGAAGATTGTATCAATGTCTCCCTCTTCATCACTTGACTTCCATGAGCCTCCCTCACACAACTCCTTTTCTACCTGGTAGCAGTAGTCGCTTTTGCGGTTCATGCCTGCCAAGCCCGGATATTCACAGGACAACAACTGCTGCTAAGTCTTTCCCACCTCCTACCACCATTCCTGTTCTTTGCTGGGGCAATCCTTTCCATTCATTGGCAGTACTTGGTCACTTTCTGCATTCGTGTTTTGTGGTGATGTCAATGAATGGAAGTGTGACCGAGTACAAGAGGAGGAGGATGAAGAGGAGGAGGAGGAGGAGGAGGAGGAGGAGGAGGAGGAGAAGGAGGAGGAGGAGGACACGAATTGGCAGAAAAAACAGAGGGGAGGAGGACAGGAGTATCTATCTGTCTATCTGTCTATTTGTCTATCCTTCCATCTCATTGCTTATGTCACAGTTGATATTTGTTGATATTTGTGTATTCAGTGTTTACAGCTTTACAGTGTTTAGTCGACACTGAATATTCAGTGTTTACAGCTTTACAGCTTCTATTGTTTATTCGACCAGGCAATGCCAGCACCATTTTGATGTGTTTCAACTTTCAATTACTTCAGAAAAGAAACCTGAACTTTCCATGTTTGGTCTCACACTCTCGGTACTCTACACTGGTTTGTTTTCTGATCCTAATGCGAACCATGTGATCCCAAACAGAGGCGGTTGCTCCCTTAGAGGGTTGCCTTCGGTCGATCTTGTGTCCGTCCTTCAGTCTGAGATGGTTTACGTCATGGATTTTACTTTTTCCTTGTGTCAAGTTGTGTGTGTGAAATCATTGAAATGGATGTTTGGTTTTCAGCTTCTCTCTCTCTCTCTCTCTCTCTCTCTCTCTCTCTCTCTCTCTCTCTCTCTCTCTCTCTCTCTCTCTCTCTCTCTCTCTCTCTC